CATGCTGCATAGCAACTCGAAGGTGCGTAATGTACTACATCCGAAGGTAAGTCGTCGTCTGTGGCCTTGCCCAGCCGCACTTTGCATTTCGCGCCTCCAAGAAGTAAGTTGCGGTACTATAAGCTCATCAAGAGAGGATCCGGACCACGTTGTAGTGCTATGTTTAGTTGGATGAGGTCGGATTAGCGTACCATGTTGGAACTTAGTATACAAGTTTATAGATTACTATGCAGTGTAATCATGCTAGTCGTTGTCGTACCCTTCAATATATTGAATCTATCGTACAAGCAACTAGAATCTAAAAAGACCAAACGACAGCCTGAATGGCGAGCAAATAATGAATGACCGCCGCTACGGGCCCTGCCTACTAAGGCAGCTAATGGCTGCTGGTTAGCAGGGGACTTATCTTTTTAGACTAATGGACTAATCTCGCTGGTGAGGGATAATTTAGCTCGCTTAATGCCAATTCGCAGGGGGAGTTTTTCCTGATGTGGGAACGCCTCAAATCCTGTTGCTGTCGGGCATCGGAGACAAGGACCGATTACGAGCCCTGGATATCGAGCCCTTGCTTGACCTTCCGGATGTCGGCCAGCATCTCAAAGATCATCCTATCTTGGCAAACTACTGGAATGTCTCCTCGAATAATACATACGATGACTTGAGACGCAATACAACCCTGATAGAGGCTGCCATAGCGCAATGGCAGACTAACCGAACGGGGCGACTGGTCGACTCTCCTGTGCAATCTCTGGCATTTATGAGAGTTCCCGCCAATTCGAGGATATTTGACAATGTCACGGACCCTTCGGCTGGCCCCCACTCTGGACACTTCGAATTCCTCTTTGCGGTGCGTGGCAACCATGTGATCAAATCGCTGAACGCTGACCTGGTATCACAGGATGGGTACGGAGCGGTTTCCGTACCACAGCCTCCGACTGGACATTTCCTCACGGTATTCTCCGCCGTCGTGGCACCTACGTCTGGTACGTATACATGTGACCCGTTGAAAGCGGCCGCTGAATCGGCACAACACAGTCGGTTCTATCAAGCTCGCGTCATCGGACCCTTTCGACAATCCGTTGATCGACCCGGGATTCTTCTCAACCGAGTTCGATACCCTAGTTATGCTAGAGGCCATCAAGACCGCCCGACAGTTTATGGCATTGCCAGCTTGGGGCGGTCTAGTGTCCGGGCGATTTGGACCAGTGGGCGACGCCGAGACGGACGAAGAAATTATTGCTGCGGCTCGAGTGTCCGTCGAGACAATATACCATCCGGTCTCTACCGCGCGAATGTCGCCCAGGGACGCATCTTGGGGCGTGGTGGACCCGAACCTTCTCGTGAAGGGTGCAAGTGGCCTGAGGGTCGTCGACGCATCTGTTTTCGTACGTGATGCTCACGTTCATCCTTCGTCTCTGACTTGCATCTTCTGTAGCCCACCATCCCTGCGGCGCATACAATGGCGTTGGTGTATATCGTAGCTGAGCGTGCCGCCGAACTTATCAAGCGTACTTGGGACTGAGGGACGACATGATTGGACTACGCTGATTGTGATTACGGATATTTTCCTATCGCTCTGCAGAGTCACAAGTGTATTGTAGACTCTCCAGGAGTGTATGGATGCGTGATTATCTCCCAAGACGGCGGCTACTACGCGAACATAGTGAAGGAAGACAGTTAGCGTTTCTGAAGTTGCAGCCCGGAAGCTAGGAGGTAGAGAGCTAGGTCGCCTAAATACTCTAAATCCAAGCTAGCGAGAGAGGCGGCATAAGACTGTCGAATTGATGTATAACGGTACCAAACATGGAGTACTGCCGCAGACTCGGAGTCTAGCTTGTTCCAAGGTCGGGATGACCCGCCGTTGAATAGTCATTTAGAAACGTTGGTGTCTAGTCAACTCTGGAGAACCGCAGGTAGTGGTCCGGGACCCTGAAAGACTGATCCCGAAAACAGGTGTATATGGCAGGCCAGCTGATCAAGACCATATGAGTGAGGTACTGAAGCTACGTAGTGCTCGGGATTCGCCTACCATATGCTCTCTGATTCGTTACTCGGGTTTAGCATCCGTGTAAGTACATTGCTACCAACTGTGGTATGTGGTAGCATCATGCATGTCCTTCGCTCCCCCCAATCGACGCATGCTAACTCTGACCTCGACAACAGGTTAGTGGGCTCACTTCTTGCATTAGCCAGTCGGCTCCCGAAGTCGTAGACTTCGTACACGAAAGACCGGAGGAGACTCAGTGCCATATGGATTCCTCTACCCGGGTCTCACTGAGCGTTTCGAAAGCTCTGGCCAGACTCAGATACAGCACTGCCCGGTCACACAAGACGTTCCCTATTATATCCCGCCATCCCTATACCATTCTCGGCCTATCCGACCATGCATAGCATTCGTTGTGCCATTCTGCGGATGTATGACAATGCTGACTAGCGGTTTGGCCAAATGACAGCTTGAGGGCGGTGTCGCCACAGCATCGCGGAGGTATGGCTTTGAGGGGCGAGTCATCATTCAAGCCAGCCCGGCGACGTGTCAGCCTGACACACCGAGCGGGTTACCCATTATCGTCTCAGGACGGTGACGCCTCCCAGTGTTCGAGTATAAAGGAATCGAGCCTGTACGGCGAAAGCATCCAACACACTCACCTCGCAGCATACGTTGAGCACACCACCCAAGATGCGCCACTCCCATTTCCTCTCGTCGCTCGTTGGCGTCCTCCTCGCAGTGTCAGCCGTAGCCATTGCTCAAACTCCTCAGCCCCCGCCCACCTTCGACGCCATATTCACGGGGCAGTTGGTCATCGGCCCTCCTAACGACGTTCTAAACACTACGGGACCGTTTGGTACCCGCATACACTCACCCCTTACAGGGTACGTCGTGCGCTGTTCAGGGATCCGAGTCAGGCGCTCACAGATAGACATCCGCATGCAGGGGGAACCTCACCGACGCGAAGACGGGCGAGGTTCTGGCAACGCTCCTTCCCACCGCAGACAATGGCATCATCAGCAACTCGGGGATACTATTCCCTTCGGCTGTCCTGCCATACGTCTGGAAGGCTGACGGAAGGCTAGCCTCCATAGCTGTAAATGGCATAGGGTGAGCTTAGACGGCGTAACACCGCTGGAGAGAACAGCATTTACGAGGATTGATCTACTTGATTGGTCTCAGGGACATGAAGACCGGGTCCCTTTCCTACGCGTGAGTTCGCAGAACCATAACCTGACAGCCAGCGCGCTCCAATGAGCGGGAACTCACTGAAGCTCCGGATGCGCAGACACGTGGAAACGGACTCGCCTGCGTACTCGTGGATGAACAGCAACTTCTTCCTCTTCAAGGTTGTGGTCGGGTCAGACCCGCAGGCGCCGGAGTTCACTTTGTACCGAGTGGCCAATACCACGAAGCACTAGAAACTCTAGTACTTCGGGGTGGAAAGGGACTATAGGAAGGGATATCATACAACCTGGAGCGTCGCACTAAATGGATATACGCGTACGCCTGAGGTTTGAATCGTGAAGTAGGCCTGCTTTAGACAGTAATATATTCGCCTATAGTGGGTGTTTGATACTGGAAAAATAAGTTAAGGCTTGTCAACTTGAAACGTCACCCTAGCATGTGAAAATGAGTAAAACGCGCGGAATGTGACGCGTAAGCTCACAATGGCGATGATACTGCGAAGGAACCGCCTGTGCAGAGTTGGACAGCTCTACCAGTGCAAGAGGACACGTCACATAGAAATCAGAGCTTACTCGAAGCTCTGGGTAAGCGGCGAATGCCAGGTGTGGTCGCTGTCTCGGCCCCTGCATCAACACAGCTCCATCTTGCAACTCGGAATAGCACGAGGCTTGTAAAGACTGGGCCCGGGATTCGGTCTTGGGAGAAGCGGCAGTAACTGCGCTGTAAGCTCGCAGTACTACCCGTCCGGCCAGGCTAGTCAGCTCTCTCCTCCTCACGCCGTAATTGATGGACCTAAGTTTGCTCGATGAATGTGGGCATTAAGCGGGGATGCTGGGCGTACCGTGGGGCTAATTCGAGCCGTTGTCAGGCCAAGACGGCAAGAGTGATGCAAGTTGCCGTGTGTGGGCGTCGAGTCCCCCCAGCGCTTGAAGCGTGTATGCGCGCTCACCCACCGAAAGGGCGTCCTCGTCCTCGCCCTCGTCCTTGGCATCCTTGTTACTACCGCCTTCTGCCCAAGGTTTTTGCACTGATCAAAAGACTCAGCTCCTCGGCGCAACATCAAGGAGAGCTTCACCAATGATGCCGAACTCGACGCGCAGTGTCTTGGAAAGGACAAGGCCGCCATGCAGCTGCAGGTCGTCCATGGCGCGTTCGCGAAAGGTTGATTTTAGTGGTAAGTCCCAATCTCTCCCACTTGCACGCTGCATCATAATGTTACCATTATCTCCGTCTCCCCTTCAGGCGATGTTCTGGGCATGCTCAGGATTGGCCACGACCATTCCCATGCTCCGCTGACAGTTCCAAGTCCCTCAAGAGCTCAAACTCTTTTGCATTCCCGCTCGTGCAAGCCTTCATCTGTCGACACCCCATCGCTAGATGGTACTTGGATCCGGACACCTTATGGGAAGCAAATTGTGCGTACTCATCACTGCCTCGCGGACGCTCGCCGTCGAGTGAGTGCGTTCAAGCACCCCTGCTTCCCGTTCTCGAGCGACGTAGCGTCCGCGAGGCTCATCTGAACGTGTAGAATCTTTGCTAACCGTGGTTCTGTTACGCTCTTGTTGCCCTCAGATACGGTCTCCTGCCGTACAAAGCCTTTGCACTCGACATACGTGTGGCTCTTGCTGTACTCCCTGCTTATTGCTCAACATCTGCACACGCGCGACTCGTCGTCCGCCAATCGCTCCATCGTCTAAGGAGTGGTCCCTGCTCTGGCACCTCGAGCGACAGTGCTCAGCCAACGAAGCGCAAACGCAGCAGGGATTCCAGTTCCAGTGCAGCAGAGCGCGGAGCAACCCGCAAAACCGTTTGGTGTGCCCAATGGCAACGCCCTTGACGGCCGTTCCTTGGTACGCATACAGCTCGTCCGCAGCCGATCATCAGCCCCTAACGCTGCTATTTGCCTTCTTCGCAGAGTCTGGCTGCACGTCCCTCGCTCTCATAGATCCGCCATCCGCCAAGCCTCCTTGTCGCGCGGCAGAGCACCGTCTCCTCAAGCTTGAGTCAGACGCCCTCTGCCGCAACCAATGGAAGACCGCGCCTCCGCCACGTGGACCGGAAAGCCAACGCACATCTGAGATTGCTAGAAGCGCCCGACAACCCCCGACAACCGGTCATGATCAGACACTACTGCTCCTCAGCACTCGGGCGCATATGAATCCATGGTACCAGGCAGTCTGAAAGCCGTCCCGTTCCTCTCCCGCTCTGTCATGTGGGCCAAGGGCGCGTGTGGGGCTCGCGTGCTCGTGCGCCCAGCAAGACTAGATCGGGTTATGTTGCGTTCATCGATACAAGGTCCTCCCTGACGAAGCCGCTCGACGACCCCCAAGTCGCGATACCCATGCGTGTTTCACTTCCCTCACCGCCATGTCCCTCTCCTAACTCAATATTTGTTTGCAGGATGGCCAGGATGCGAGGTAGGCAAATACGACAGGAACATAAGATACAGTCGGAGCCACATAGATGAGACGGAGATAACGCTGGTACGTCTTGGCTCTCCCTCCACAGTCTGCTGTCCAAGTTCCGACAACGTCACGGGCGTTGCGTATGCTTTGCCCACTACGTAGAGGGAACTATAGTTGGAGATATGGGTCCCGTACGACCGGGCGACCAACTGACGGCGAATTGAGCTTAACGTATCCAGTCGGGCCTGCGAACTTCATCGCGATCCTGATTTGTGTAATTCTTGTGAGTTCTGCTCCGCGCTACTGCCCTTGTTCTCCTCCTGTTTTCCTACCGGTTAGGGCTTCCTCGCTTTTGCGTAGCGCGAGATTGAGCATAGAATGACAGCTGCGAAGGAAAAAGGCCGCTCACTGAACGTCGCCTGCTGATCTGAAGGGGTCTGCCATGGACGACGCGGAAGAGCTCTACAGCAACCGAATCGCTGCATCTAGCACGGCGATCCGTGCGAGACCTTGGGTTTCGTGAGTCAGCGTGTCTCCTTGTCTGGGAAACGTCAACGTTGCGTTGTGCTCAGCGGACGTTGCAAAATAGGCGGGAATGTGCCGACCTCGGCTGGCCTGTTCGGCGGCTGTTTCGCACAGCCGCCTTCCACTTGTCCCTCGGCTCTCCACGTCGACTGTCGACATGCTACGGAACGATGTCATCCACACTCCTATCAGAGAGGTCTTTCAGCCATTACATGACTTCATTCCGTGGACGCAATTCGTGGTGTGCATGCACGCTGAATAGCGGATACCCTTCGCAACCGTGTAAACCTCTGTCCTATGTCCTCACACGCTCGGCTAGCCTGAACCAATCGCGCCTCATGTAGGAACGAGGTTGGTGTTGTGCTGCGACTATAATAATGGCATTGGTGTCATGCATGCTCTCCCTTGCCAGCCAGCTTCCTTGCACCCCTTCTGGGCGCGGAGACATAGCGACGAAGGTATGCATTAGTCCACGTGTAGAGGAGCTTGGAGGGACACGATCGTGGTCTATGCATCACGTTGCGTTGTCCTGGGTGGCATCGACAAACACAAGCCTAATTGTAGGCCTGAATAAGGTGCCCCAGACTTTGATTAGACTTTATTTATCAGACACTGACGATTCGAGTCTAGTTTCAGTGACGCTTTCATGATGGAGCCAGGAAGTCCTAAGCTTCGGCGGAGAACAAGGAATCGAGAACTTCAAGCTGAGGCTCCTCATTCGGAATGCTGGACGGCTGACTTGGTCAGCTTTCGCGGGTACGCAACCCGGCGCGCGTTCCAAGGTTCCGAGAACTGATGTTGTACAGGCGTCATCCGTGTACACATCATCCTGTCTTGGAGTAATGATGACGTCGTAAGTGTCTTGGCTTCCTGGCAACGTTGAGCTCGTGATAACAGTGCATTGCGTAGCGTCGCATGTTCCGCAATCATGATAGGGACCAACCTTGTTGCTTTTTGTCCAGCTCAGCCTCGGTCATGGCCTCATGGTGTGAATGGATATCACTCCATGCGGAGCGCTGAATCGACGCTTGCATCACATGAGACAAGGAGCGCTCTTCTTATCCAGATCCTGCAGCTTCTAGTCCCATGCCGAAGTGTAACCAAGACTTGATCATCACCACTGAGCGCGTCTCTTCCTTCTGACCATCTCGAGGGTATCTATCGTGCACGCCCTGAAGCGACTTGCTTCTCAGATGGATACGAAGAAGGCTTCATGTTTGTCTTTCGGAACCTTGCGAAGTACTTGTATAGGACGTAGATCGGACGACCGCAAAACGGACGACCGCGAAACAGCAGTGCAGAAAGAGACGTCAGTTCACGAACGCATCTGTGTACCCACTACAGAGGATATAACTTCTGACAGGCCATGGGTCTTGGGCTCTAGCGGTAGTTGCCCAGTGTGAACTCCAACTAGGCTCTGAACCCTGTCGGACCTTTGCGCCAACTATAGCTTCCCCGGGCAGGGCACGGGGGAACTCCCGTGCCCAGTGCCCTGCGCCACCAATGCGCAGTTAGACTCCGAGATAAACATGCGGGAGCGGTCGGAGTTTCTGGTGAACGGTCCCTCGGATCGAGTTCATTTCATGTCTTACTCTAGGTTATCTTGTTACTGATCTACTGCAACATTTACAGCCTTGGTACACACCCGAGTCATTTCCGCGCTCCAGTATGTCGATGGCCCGGTTCAGACGTAGTCGCCAAATTCCTCATTCGGGCAGTCAGCCTTGAAGCAAATGTTTCCTGGACGCAGAGCCCAAGTGATGCTTGGAATCCTTCCCTGCAAGGCGTTGCAGATTCCTGAAACCAGCCGGAACGCCGGAGACGCCGGAGACGCACAACAGGCCTTGCTCCCGACGATCATCGGACATACTACTTTGGACATCCATTTCTATCGGGACCTGCCTGCTGTACTTCAAGGTGTTCTCAGAGCTTATCGCCGAATGAGATATGTTCCTCACACGATGGTCGCTCGCTTGCGGCTCATTGACGGTGAAGCCTGTCCAGAAATCCTTCTCTAGTGGACTTCTTTGACATACCATCCACTAGGCCGTGCCGCTCGAAGTCCGATGTGGTTGAATCTTGTTTCGAGGCTCCAAACTTCCCAGCAGCATTCAGTCGGGGGTCGCCGTGGAGCGTAAGCAGATGATGAAACCGTTCCCCAGGGTTCTTCGGCCCCGCACAAACCTTGGCTCCTGAACCCGCAGATAATTGCTACTATCCGCTGCATTGTCCGGAGTCTGCAAAAACATAGCAACAGAAAGAACTTGTTTGCAAGACTGGTGGGCAACGACCTTGTCACCTTATAATCTGTATGTCACTGACTCGGTTGTCGAATACTACGCAGCAAATACCGGGTTAGACGCCAATGCACTATTGCCTCCTCAGGGCAGTGCAAAGGAGTTCATAGATGATCATGTCGGATTGACGCTGCGGTGGGGCTTTAATCACTGCACCTGCTCGACCCTTCGCCGAGCTCCGCCTCTCTGCCCACTATGTCGAACCTCACGAGCGCCGATATCGAGACCCTCAGTAGTATCGGCCATGATACTATCCAGACGACCGTGGCTCTCGTTGTAGAATCGGTGCTGTGGAGTAAGCGGCATGTCAACGAATCTCACCTCACCTCCACTCGACTAATGAACAACAGCCGTCTATCTCGTGCTCATTGTGATAGCCGGCAATATTCTACTGTGAGTATTCGACAGCTTCGTAGGTCACCAACTGGCTAATATGTCTCTTCCAATCGCATCACAGTCGAAGGGATCGTCGCAACAAGATGTCGATTTTCACATTTGCCGTAGTCTTCATCATGTTCCTGCTCGACACTTCAATGTGCATTATCGACGTGAACAACGCCATCCGAGAGATCAGCCTGACGCTCACTTCGACTTCGACCCTTTCTCTCTCGGATCGGTACGCCCTGACAGACAATCTGCCGTATGCGGTGGAGAACGCGCTGTACGCCTGGATGGTGAGTTTGGCACACCCCTCCCCCCTAGCCTTAGATTTGGTACTCCAGATCCTGACTGTTGGCGACTGCAGTCCAACCTCGGAGACGTCATCATTATCTGGCGCACATACGCATTCTGGCGTCTGCCTCACGAACGCTGGGTGCTTGCCATCCCGTGCGCATTCCTCTTCGGCTCCGTCGGTGCGTCGGTACTTCCACCTCTCCACTTGCACATATATTGATGTTGGTACGGTCCCGCAGTTACGTCTGTATTGATCTCATACTGTGTTGCGGCAGCCGACGCGCAACATGGAGCTGGTGACTTTGTGCACCCACCGTTTTGCGTGAACGTTCAGCTCGCGTCGTATTCGACGGCGCTCGTGACAACTGCTGTCGCGACGCTGATGATATGCTACAAAACATGGTGAGCGCGACGATCAGACCGTCGGGATTTTGCTCATCTAGGATCATTCAGGGACTATCGGCGTGAAGTCGGTACCTTCATCAGTGTGTCAAAGCCCAAGACACGTGCGGAAAAGGTTATGACAATCCTCATTGAGTCAGGCCTCCTCTACTTCTTCTTCTTTGTGCGTACTTCGTGTGTTTCCACGGGACACTCGTCTGATTGCAGCCAATGCCAGTTATCTGCAGTGATAGATGAAGCAGGCAATGTACCGACCCTCGAAACTAGTACGCCTCAGCTCGCATTTGCCAGCACCGTCTGGACATATATGACCAGTCACATTCTCGGCATCTACCCCGTTGTCATCGTCATTCTCGTGTACATGCAGAAGTCTTACATCAACGCTAGTACAAGCGCTTCATCCAATGCCACCGGCTCGCTGCACGTCAGGGTGTCGTCGGACCGGCCGCATGTTGCGCCGGAGGTAGCATCCTGGGGTGGTAGTACTTCGACCCGCTTGGGCTCGCGCCAAGACTTAAAGCACGGGACGGTCGGTAGCAAGACCAAGGGGCTGGGATCGCCGCGCAGCCATGTCGTGGAGTTTGACATGCCGGACTCGGAGCTCGAGATGCAGAGCCTTCCTCACCATTCTCGTCCGTCCGATGGAGCAGAGGAATCCATTAACGATTCACGTACGCATATCGAGACGATGGCGGTCTAGACATCCGGCGAGGCCTTGCTGTGACGGGGTCGACGAAATTGAAGATGTCTTGTTATCTGAGCTCCTGAAAAGCGCTGGCTTGATTTACATCACCGTGGCTGCAGTCCTAATGTCTTCTTTCAGCACACTTGTCAATTTATGTACCGGTACCCGAGGCTGTGTACTTTGATCTCTCGCAAATTTCGAGTATCGGCTCTCTCTTTTGAATGCCTACCCGTCGCCACTAGATGTATGTACAATCACTATTTGTATAAGCTAGGCCTTGGATGTATTCACGAATGGTGTGATATACCCAATGGAGATGTTGAGCTAAACTATGGGGGTGAATTAGAGGTTCTGAATGAGACTACACACAAAACCATGTCAACGACGGTAACCAGTCAAGGAGTCAATAGCCGGTCATAGCGCAGCGCCCTCGGGGGGGGGGTAGTCGACTTCCCAAGACGCCATCTCGCTGCTGAGGCCTCTGATAAGTGAGCAGCGAGTGGATCGGTGGCCTGGGAAGCTGATTGAAAGCGGGGACCTTGTCTTGTGCTCGCGTGGTATACGTTCGGCACATAAGACTGATGATGCCGCTCTTGCTCCTGGCTGGTTGCATAGTCGATGCCCAACGAAAGATGTCATTTTCAGGAGAGGAACAAAAGGCCGGTAACAGTAGAATAGAGCAGGTCAAAGAGGCTATACTCCAGTGATATCGGAGGGTGGTTTGTCATGGTGGAGAGCGGGAGTTGGAAGAGCACCATTTTCCAAGCATGGAAGAGATATTTACCCGAGATTACCAGCTACACTCGAGGTTGGGACTGAAACGACGATCCGCATTGGTATGGAAGATGTCCTCTGAAGTATATGCGCATCTTCTTAGAGTATAGGTAAAACGTCAGATAAGTCAGGTGGAAGCCCGCCGAACCGACTACCTGGACCAAAGTCCGGATGACCGCCCAACGAACCAATATCATCTCCGATGTAATTGCTCGGCGGGATTCCCTTAACATAATCGTCATACCAATCGTCCAGGATGCCCTGTATGACCTGGACACCTGCACGATATATATTCACGACGGAGACACGGTACCCGGCACTCTGCCCCTCGAACAGATTGGCAGTCGCGCTCATTCCCGGTGCAGGCCTGTCGAAGTCCGACGCGGTGCGCATCGAGATGACACGCGCAAAATCGACACGACCCGTCAGTGCCCCGCGGAGGAGGGCGCCGAGCACCGCGCCGTCCTCCTGCTGTGTAGTACAGTAGGTTCCCGTGCCATTCGTGAGGAGTGTGGTCGTGTTCTCGAAGGCCTCCGCAAGCAGCGCGCCGCTCCACCACACGTCCGACGTCGCGGTGTCGCAGGCGACCACAGACGGTGCCTGCAATGCGGCAGCGTGCTCGGGCACCCCTGCATAGAGCGCGCGATACGCTTGCGCGCTCGCTGAATCGTTCAGCATGGCGCGTTTCGCGAAAGTGATGGCGCGCTGGCGCAACGCATCGTTCAGCTCGAACGCCTCGGTGCCGTACACGTAGCGCGGCCACTGCCCAGGGGCAGTCGTACCCTGGGGAATATAGCCCGTGTTGAACTCAGCCGGGATCTCCCTCGCGTCGACCTCGTATTGCAGCGCAACTTGAACGGAGAAACGCGCGAAAGCGACGGAGCCCAGTGTCCCAAATTTGGGAGAGATCCCAGCGACGCCCGCGAGGAGGAAGTAGGATTGCCTGAGGTCGAAGGCCGGCGATTGAACCAAGGCTGCGGTGGAGAGTGCTGCGTTGATCAGACCTTCGTCTGTGAGCAGCTGACAGATGTCGCCGTCTGAGGTGCATCGAACGCTGGAGTAGCGCCGCGACAGGCCGGGGACGGTGATATTCCGCGCCAGGAGGTCAAACTCCGGGATCCCGAGCCAGGCGGAGCCTTCATCACCGTACTGCAGTCGTTAGATCCAAGGTGTACTCTTGGATTAGACATGTTTGCACGGACGCGGAGAGCGCGGTTTCATACGCACGTAGTCGACAATCACGACTTTGGGAGCCAACGGCGCGTGCTCCGCCACAGCAAATTGGACAACGCCGGCCAGAAGCGTGGGGCCTCCCATGAAGGCCCGCATTGCAAGCAGTACGCGGCTGTAGCAAAGGAACGCAGGTGCAAAGACGAGGACGAGGAGTGCTGGGAAGAGTATCCCCTTCCATCTGGACATCCTGCACGGTGAGGGAACGAGGACGAAGAGCACAAGGACCGACTCCGTGAAAGTAGCGAACGAAGCTGCGTGTGCTCTATATTAGGTGTCGGCGTCTTCAAGCTGTGCGCTTCTCCTGCTATGTGCTTCCTCCTAAAACTCACTAATCG